GGCGCACAGTATGCAAAAAACATTATGAGTTTTACTCTAAGTGAAAAATGAAAGGATCTAGAAGTTAAATAACATTAGCATCTTCCCCTAGGCCTTATCACACTAGCATAAGCCCATAACGTTGAACATGCTAACAAGCACTAACAGCCAGACTCTGAATATCAAAACCTTGTTAGCAGTTACTGCTACCACTATGCTAAATTGTTAGTAGCATTGCAATTACAGTAACACAAACAACCAATGTTGTCCTTTTAGACGTCTAATAATATCCAACTATTCAAATCCATCCTATTGAAAGAATAGGCCTTCACCAAAGCATGTTGACAAAGTGAAATACTTTTACAATCCAAGTCAATTAACTTAAATATGTATTGTGATAATGTCCCACACAGCTAGTTGGTTACAACAATCTACAGTGATGTCACAGGGATTTCAGGCAGCAGGTAGTTGAAGGTTAAGTACCTAAATTCACTTGTTAATCCATTTGCTATGGCTACAACTGCCTCATGGAAGTTTTCTTTTCTGTTTGTTTAATATAGGAATGCATCTTTGTCTATCACACTTTGCTTCTGTAGATCTCCCATCTGACTTTATTGTGAGCTTGTGTTTTCAAAAAGTAAATTGAGCATGTTTTATGAGACTGAACAGTCTCATAGGGTATTGGACTCTCTTAAAACCCAGGTAGGTGCAGAATAGGTTTCTCAAAAATAAAGCAATCAGGAAGGCAGTACTATGCATGACTACAAATGATAGTAAACTATATGTACACGTTGATTAATACCTACTTAACTTGTACTTGGGACAGGACTGCAAAGTACAGATGGGATATTCCTGATCATAATCAAACTTATATAAATGTGCACCAACATTAGTTATCAGTGTTCTCTATTCTCAATTTAAAAGAATGAACTGACAATAAAGAAGTCTTATAACATATTTTGCTTGTGTCTTTGGTAGGCCTTCAGGGTTTGTTTGATTATTTATCAACTAGTTACATTGTCATTTTGTAAATTAAGAAAATCCAATCCAAATAATTAAACTATTTTATTGCAATGTAAATAGTTTGCACCCCATTTATTTACTTTTAAATTAATCTTTATGGTGTGGTGTTACCAATTCTTAAAATAATACAAGGATTGGAGCAGCCAGCAAACGATAAAAGACTTCTGTGTTGATAAAAATAAAATAAAATAAAGCTTAAAGGCTTTTCAGGAAAATCGATTTGCAGTCAATCAGAGACGAGACTTCTGCTGCATGCATCCAGGCACGCAGAGACCATGCAGAAACACGCAGGAGTTGAAGAGCATTAGAAGTACCAGAGTGCAGGAATACTCTGTTTCAGTAAAAGTCCTGTATTCAAAATGTTACTCAAGTAAAAGTAGAAAAGTATTCTCATCAAAATATAGTGAAAGTAACGACAGTAAAAGTAGTGATTGTGCAGATTGGTCCATTTCAGAATAATATATATGATATGTTTTATAATGATTGATCATGAAAGTGTTCTCAAAGCTGGTAAAGGTGCAGCTAGTTTGAATGACTTTGTATACTGCAGGGTAGCTTGTGGATTTACTCCAGGTGGAACTACAGTCTGTTCTATTTCCTCCTTACTGACTGCCAGAGGCAGTGTTTAGCACTGGATATCTTCTGTCTCGCGCATGTGCAGGTCACGTATGGCCCCGGAAGGCATAAGTTCCGGTGTTGTCAACGAGTGCAGTCCTTTTTCATCTTCTCGCTGCACAGGTTACTACTTTATGAGTAGAAGCCAAGCTAGCATATTCAAATTTCGATTATTCAAGCTCATCACTACCTGTAGCCTTGTGATCGTCTCGATTGGAGCTGCGGGCTAAAACGCTCGCCCTCCAAAGGCTGCGACGAGCTGTCCCCCTCCCTAAAGAGCGGAGTACATATGCCAGGCCTGTAAGTGGCGCTGTAGTCTGCCACAAAAGCAGCGAAGAAGACTTCCCGCGCATAGTTACCATGGTTACCCTTCTGTTTATTCTGCGCTGTGGCTTTCTTTCTCCCTCCCCGAGGCAAGCGTTTGCTCCCGCTGCTTTAATTCAATGCAACCCCTCCCCGTCGAGGCAAGCACTGTAATTCTCTCCGGTTAGTCCACCAGCAGATGACAAACACCCACCTCTCCGCCTCTTCCAAGGAACGAGGGGACCGTGCGGCAGAGTTTCAGTTTCAGTTACTTTCGCCAGTCAAGATGTCCGTTAAAGTTTAAATCTTCCGGACAAAATTATAAAAGTGCCGGTCAAAGGTCTTCTTTGTTATTTATTGAGCTTTAAAACAAATGAATAACGACTCTATATAATAAAACACGGAGGACGGAGATCTCTTTTTCTCCCCCTCTTCTGACTTGATCAGAGCACAGCTCCCCTCTCCTGCAGGGGGGCGTGGTCAGCTGCAGCTCACAGAATCAGCCCCCTGCAAAAACAGGGTTGGAGAACAGCAAATAGAGCGAAATGAGGCATGGCTAAAATCATGATCTGTTTGGTATTTTGAAAACAGAAACGTATAAATATACCTTATATAGGTATGGCCCTACAATATATCATTTAAATATAGCATGATAGGTCCACTTTAAAGGATATCAAAATTCATAAAATTGACTCTGGTATTGACCTACTCATCGGGACAAATTCTCCTAAGGTATTGGAACCTTGGGAGCTGGTCAATAGCCAAGGAGAAGGACCGTATGCTATGAAGACCCTACTGGGGTGGGTCTATGGTCCCCTAAGAGGAAGCAACGACAGCAGATATTCTAACAGCAGCACCCACACGTGTTTTCAAACAGACAAAATGCGGAAGGTTCCGGAGAAGGTTTGTCACCCGCACAGCCGGAAAGCTGCTTACCTGGCACGAGAAGAAATCAGACTGAAAAAGGAAGAGAGACAGGATAAAGACAAAGCTACACGTCGGAGCTGCATCGGTGAGAAGCTGTTGTGGTTTCAGGAACATTTGGATCCAGAAAAGACTGCGTTCACCAAAAAGGATGCCTGTGACATCGTTGATAAGTTTGAACCTGAACTTGAGCAGATTGAGCTGATGAACGGCATCAAAGGTCGACAGGGTCGTCGTCGTCAAACAGACCATGGAGCGAGAGCAGGAGCAGTATGAGGTCGGGTTTGAGATCCCAGACATCATAAATGCAAAAAAAGTGGACTGGTGACCTGAAGAAACCTCCGAATAACCAATAACAAAGATATGTCTGCTCCAAGAGGCTGAGACATAAAGTACCACAAAGACTGGTTACCCTTAAAATAAGGGAGAAGAGAATAAACTGAAATACCAACACACAGAACACACCATTTTTATTTTTCATAGCTCCTTTTATTATTTATTGGTAATTGTTTTTTTTGTTTCATACTAAAGCCAATTAGGGGCCGGTGTGTAGGAGCCATTTTATGGGTGTTGTTGGTGTCTCAGTTTATTTAAGTTATATGTATAGTGCAATATTATTTTTGAACACTTGGTGGCGGGGTTTAGCTGCACCGGGTGTATAAAAGAGGTCATAGGTGACAGCAGGACGAGGACACAGAAGGAAGAGAGCATACTGATTCCACCAGCCCGGTAGATGCTCACCACAACCATTAAACTGTACAATTAAACCTTGGTATGTAAAACGCTAAATAAACATCATTATGAACTGCACCAAAGGACCGGAAAGTCATCTGTTTGTGTCTGCGTCTGGATCACTCTCCAGCCCTCCTGTGAAGTAATGGCAAAAGGATATAGGACATTGGAAGAATAAAATTGCCATTACAATTCTTATTGTAAGCTTTCTTTGCTAATTATAAATCTTCATTTAATAAATACATTCTTAGTCGACTCAACCAAAACACTCATTTTGAGTTATTCTTTCTTAAATAATTCAGGAATCATTGCTTGTAATAAGCATTTCTTTCTAGTTTCAAGGCCCATTACGGTATTTCAGTAGCTAGATTTAATTAATTATTTATATTAAGAATTCCAGCCAAGCAAATTTGTCTCACCCCATTGGCAGATTTGTGTTGCTTGATAAAGGAACATCTGACTTGATTCAAGAATATTTTTGCTTGTTTTTGGAAGGGCTGTTTTTGCAGTGTGGTCATTTTAAACTGCTTTAAACTTCTACTTGTATTTTTGTTGTGTTGTGTGTTGTGTAACCACACCACAGTTGTCTCAATGGCAATGTGAAAAGGGAATAGACAGCTCTCGGCAATGAATAAATATATATGAAATGTCATTTCATCAGATTCTTAAATTGAGAAGTTGTTTGATGGTTTATTTCTTAAAATAAGAAAAAAATTAATCTGTTCCATGCCGGGAAACCAATGCTGTAACTTGTTACTGGTTAATTCTAGCTCAATATAAGATAGCATTTTTTAATAAACAAAAGTAAGATATATTTTCTCAAAGTAAGAATACTTTTCTTAAACAAAACATTCTTAACAAGATAATTTGACTTTTTAGACGAAAAATAATAATTGTTTCCCAGAAACAAGTTTTTTTCACTTTCTTAAATTACTTTGTTGCAGTGTACTCTCTCTCCTCTCAATCAGTGATCGGGGGTGTCACTCCCAGCTAAATCTATCACTCCTTCTCTATTCCCACAAGCCTATCATAGTGCATTGCTAACCCTTTAAATCTGCTCTCTCCCCTCCTGACAGCTGTCATTTCAGGAGACTGGACGCAGCCCTCCTCCACCCCTTCCATCCCCCAAATCCAGGGTCAAGCTTAAACCAGTCCTCTCCAGACCTCCATCAATCTATTCATGCCTTCACCACCACCAGTGTCTAGACCCCAGGGGGGGCTTCATCGGTTCGGTTTCCCCCCCCCGAATGATATTCCAGCAAAACGGGGTCTAATCGGCCAACACCATTACATTCATCCGTGTATACCCGGCAATACATATATATTGTTACATCAAAACAGTCTCTCCTGATTGAAATTACAATAAACCCTGAAGTGATACTCACATTTATCAGTTATTAAAGTAAGTTAAACCCAATACTCACATTTATCAGTTACTCCTGACGTGCTGCTTTCTCTCTGAGACCGGACCGACATTTTCTTTGTTTCCTCGTCACCGGCGCGCATTGCATCCTGGGATACGGTGGGCTGCGAGGAAGAGGACTCTTCAAATCCGGGAAAAGAAGAAGGCCGCATTCCAACCCGCCCCTCCCCCCTCTCTTCTGTCTGTCCGCAGAATCAGAAGTCCTTTATTGGTCCCACAGAGGGACATTAACATGGTTACAGCAACAGTGGAGATAGATGCTGCTCCCAGACCGTAGTGGAGGAATGCAGGGGAGGACTCTCTGCAGTCTTCCCGGACTGAAGCACCAGGCTTCGGCTTCAATAACCCACTCTGAAATGAGGCAGACAGGCAGGCTGTTCCTTGGGAGGCCGCTGTGTTTCCTCAGGACTTTGTTATTCAGCTAACTGGAGACAGACTGATCACTGCTGCTACTCCCGCTCTCTTCCGGACACACACTACGCGCCACACATGCACACGCCACACATGCACGCGCCACCCCCCCCTCTCTCTCTTAAAGGGATAGGCGACCCCACTCTGCATGACCCTGCTATTATTAGATAGATAGATAGATAGATAGATAGATAGATAGATAGATAGATAGATAGATAGATAGATAGATAGATAGATAGATAGATACACTGAACAAATTGATACGTTGGATCAACTTAAAACAATTTTGCTAATTTGTTACAGCTAATTTTTTTAGTTTATTCCAAATAAATGTTTTGACCTCAAAAAATGTATTTGAGTTAAAGCTCCCATGTCATGCTTTTCCGGTTATTACCCGTCCCCTTGTGTGTTATGAAGGTTTTTATGCATGTAAACGGTGTGCAGAGTCAAAACCCTCAAAGTACACCCTGTAGCGAGTAAAACTCTAACACAGAAAATACCTCCCCAAAACGCCTCGTTGGAGATACGTCACTGCCCATTTGATTCTTCCGGGTACCGCATGATGTCATGCGGTACCCGGAACGAAATGGACCAATCCCGAAGAGCTATGGCCACACCAGCAGCGGCGTGTTCCTCCTCCAGAGGTTCGAAGAACCGGCATTTCACAGACGAAAGCTTCCAAAACATTGCCCAATTTGAGGCCGGATATGCACAGCTTGTTTGGACCGTTTGGAGCAGGGGAAGATCTGGGTATAGAACCTGTAAGTTTGCATTGTTATTTGTGTATTTATCAAACAAGACTGTTTAAATGTGTAAACTGTGTTGGACTGCTAAGCCATTGACACAGTGCTAACTGTGCTAACTAAGTTGCTAGAGTTTCCATATATCAACTCTAATATCAGCAGATGGCCTTGCATACATGTATCTCATAGCAGGAGAATGTCTGCATTCACACACAAAATACCTATTGACAGTATACTGCGGGTGATTTGCCGGTCAGTCGCGAAACGTAATTACATTATAGCTGGCGTAGCGATCTAACACACGGAGCTAGAGCTAGTTTTGGTCAGAAAAACATTTTTGTGATGCTACGTTGCTAGCGTTTAAATATATCAACTACAATGTCAGCAGATGGCCTTACATGTTTGTCATGGCAGGAGAATGTCTGCAGTCACACACACGGAATACTCATACAGTATACTGTACTGTGATTTACCGTACATTGTGACCGTACATATACTGCATGTAGCTAACGAGGCTAGCTGTATGCTAGCGCAAAACAATGTATTCATGCAAGTTACATTGTATGACCGAACGTAGCAGAATACCCGTATACGATTGCAATTATAAACACATTATTGCTAGCCTAATATGAACCACTAGCTTTTGTTCATAGTAGTTTTATTACACTGCATTATAGTTGCCTTTCCTCCAAGCTAACGTTCATATCGTGTTAGCTACCAAGGTAAACAAAGCTAGGTTAGCATATTAGCAGGCAAGCTGTTCATTACACAACTACTACTAACTAATCTAAAACAACTAAGTTTCTCTAATATTTTGTGATTTGCATTTGATTTCGTCCAGCCAGATCCTGGCGGACAATCCATGACGGGGAAGGGATTCTACTACTACTGAGGGTGCTAAAAGGCACCGCACCGACTGTGCGCAGGCAAGATGCGAGGAGGAGGAATGGATGATATACCGTGTGTATATATGTATATTTATGTTCATTTTGTACATTTCTAAAAATAAAGTTTAATGGAAATACTTAGTAGGCCTATCCTTTCTTCCCTGAATTCATATATAGCAAACCATGATTTGATTTCTCATCAAACAGTAGTAGTTTATAACGGGTAAAAATAACTTACTCTTTGTTATGAGAGTAGCTCGTAGGCCACAACGGAAAGACAAGGAGACATACACGAGTTTACAAAACCACGGCACATTTATTGTGGTAAATGCAAAGATAGGTGGTTGAGAGGATCGCAGAGTTAGTCTTCCTGCAGCCGCTTTGGAGAGAGACTGTGTCCGGAGGTGTCCGTGATCGTGCTGATTAGCCTCTTCAGCTCCACCCCATCGTAAGACAAAGGCCCTGGGGCCGTCACACTCTTCTATAACAACAGTTAAAAATATATATGTATATAAAATATACCGCTGTACCGACGCCATGATAAGACTGATGTTACGCTGAGAGCAGCCGGGAAAAGCACTGACATGGGCGCAGCCTCTCTGGTGGTTGACTAATCAGAACGAGTGGCCGAGCTGACCAATCGGAGCACACTAGGCTCACAGGGAGGGGGGGGGCAAGAGCTCCAACGAGTCGTTTAGTGGAGAAAGTGAATACTGCTGAATACACATGCTTGACAGAGATGCTGTATGCGAAACCAATGTGAGTTTGGAAAATTGCACAGTATAAATCTATTTTAGTATACCTCAACAATGTAATTATGATCAGTGGAAATGGCCATGACATGGGCCCTTTAAGTACAAGATATTGTTTCCGTCTAAGATATATATTTACATTCACACAAAGTAATAAGATGATTCATTCTGAAGACCGCACAAGATTTATTACTTTGTTATAACTTAAAGGTAGGGTAGGTAAGTTTGAGAAACCGGCTCGAGATACACTTTTTGTTATATTCCATGGAATGCTCTTAACATCCCGATAGCAATGAATATCTGAAGTGCTTTGACAAAAAATCCATAAAAAAATATCATCTGTGGAAGCCGTAGTACTGTAAAAAGCACGACCAATCATTTTAGCCGGCCCGGCTAACAACATTGTAAACATTGCAAGGATTTCCCAGCATTTAAGAGTATCATATTACAGAGAAATATTGTAATCAAAACCCCTGTAATATCACAACAACATATCTATAAAACTACAGTAAAATTGGATTTCACATTATTTAACTATTATTTCCCAGTATGGCACTGTACTCAACATCATCTGTAATAGCACAACCCATTACTGTAACATTTGAATTGTGCAGCATTGCACATGTGCAGAATAGACTATCTAACCGGCGTGTGTCCTGCAGCCTACTTCTCAAACCGTCTGGAAGATTTGAACTGAGACATTCTATACACTGTAAAAAAATATCCTAATTTTACAGGAAATAACACATTTTTTATAGTAATTATCATGATTTTATAAATAACTTGCAAAATCCTGTAAAATTACAGATATTAACTATACATTAACAACCCAAAACATTATTTTAAGTATTTTGACAACAACAAATAACATTTATTTCATTTTTTTTTAAAGTAAATTTACTATATCATATTTACAGTATTTTTGCACTTTCAGAAAACACATGCAGATGTACGTCAAATAAAAATTATTATCTGCAATTAAATATGTAACTCGTAATATAAAAGTGCATTACTATTATAAGACTTTAAGATATTTCTTTGTAATTTTAAGGTAAACATAAAAGTTTATGTCAAATAAAACGTAAAATGTAAAGTAAAACATTTTTACATAAATCATTTTCTCAATATTCGATTGAATCCACCACAAACACAAAATATCCAATGTTGAAACAAAAGTAAATAAATATGTTTTCATGTAATTCCTAACTTATATTATTATTATATATTGTAAACATCCACAGTTAAAAATCATAGAAAGTGGAGAAATCTCTGCAGGGAGGACCAAGGTTTAAAACACACACTGTTATTTACTCAACAATAAGTCACAGTTATCCTTGTTTTATTTATGTGTTATGTTGCCAGGTTTTTTTTTTTTTCCATTGGTCAATATACAGTAATAAGGGTTAGTTATAGTCTTACATGCAGTAGGCCTATAATGTATGGTTTTCAGATTCTGGCCGACAGCCAGAGCTACGGCACTTGAAATAGAATTCAGGCAAAACAGGCAGACAAGTCAGGAATGTTTGGAATGAGTCCACAACACTCCTGATTGGTTAATATAAACGTCATCGAAGAAACCTGCCAATGAGAACTGTCCGCGCCTGTCGTTCACATTTGAAACATTCACATCAGTTTGAGCAGGGGCCTCTACTACGAAGCCGGATTTTCGCTTAGCGGCTGACTTCAGGGAAAACTCGGGCTTTCCGGTCCTACGACGCTGGTTCTCTTTTTAGCGGGCTAGATCTCCATGGTAACTTATGCTGAGCGGCTAACCTCCTCGGGAGGAGGTTAGATTGCAGGCTAAGAGATCAACTCAGTGAAAGCAGCACCTGCTGACCAATCAGAGCTCACCGCCTGCTGACCAATCAGAGCTCCGTGTGCGGAGTTTAAAGCGATCAAGTCATATTACAGGATAGAGGAAATACAGAGAAACTGCCGTTGCAGGAAAGATGGCCGGCAAAAATCAACTGACTGTGTGAACGTGAAAATTAATAGAATATCCCCTCCCATCTTCAGAGCAATCTGACTATTATAACATTAGCGTTAAGAAAGCTTACTTAAATATCTGCCACAACATAAGGAACCGGATCAGAGTAACATTACGTACAGTCTGCGGCACTGTGAGTGCAGACGTAGATGTGTCCCATTATCATTCATATCATATCACATCATAATGTATCATATATTTCCTTATCTGAGTCAGCTGAGCCGTATCTGGCCGTGCAACACTCACAGTGTCACATACTGTATGCAGAAGTATTATTTTAAGCAACACATTAAGTTGATGAAACACTCGAGTCAATGTAATTAAAGTCAGATCGTGTCTTAGACGGGGCAGTGATTTCATAAACCTGTTAATGTACGCATTCAAACGCTTTTTCTTTTACCAGCTGTATTCACCTTGCAGGTGCAGCTATGTGGCTTTGATCCTGGATAAAGTGTTTAAGTCATGGATGTTTAAAGTGTAACTTCTTCATATTTGTCTAATATTAAAGTTCACTTTTCATTCAGGAAGTATGACGCTGCGCTGTCAGTACGCTTGTCCATGTTTGAGATTGGTCGAATGCTCCAAATACCACCCCTTTCATGTGAACGCGCACCTAACTAGATAGGACACGGCTGGCTTGAGCGATCCACTTGATAACCAGCGTCGTAGTACAGTTTAGCGAGAGCGCG